TTCAAGCATGCTTGGGAGCCAACCAATCACAATGTTTTGTCAAATTCTGTTTCAGACTGAAATTCAAGCCAGAAGAATATTTACTAGAAGATGTTAAATTTAGTCACTTAGAAATGTTTTTGCACTTAGGGCCAAATTCAGCCTTGGCTGCCACAGTCAATGAGAGCAGACATGCATCCTCTGTGTGCCTTTGTTGCAGGGTCCCGCTGGGCAGAGCACACTGTGGACTGCCCTTCTCAGTTTCCTCTATGCAAAGAAGAGCATGACCCCATCTGTGACTAATTATCACTTGTTATAGACCACAGCAAACTGCTGTACCACGTAGAGCTAAGAGACACTGCCCAAACCTGTAGGCAGGTCGGAGGGACCATGGTGTTAGACTGACTTCTATGTCCCTTGGAAATATCCCACCTGGCTGCTGGAAAAAGGGATGGGATGAAGGAAGAACCAAATCCTTAGGTTTTGACTCAAAGAGTTTTGTGCTTGAAGGAATGCTTCCTCATTCTCTCTGGCTGCAGAAGAACCTGCAACTGAATATAGTTGTGCTGGAAATAAGCTGCAGGATTTAGGATACTGAACTCAAAGAAAGCTTATCCCTGTGATCTTCTTAAACCCAAGTAGTGCCTCTTCAAAAGTAATATGGAGGAAAGAAACCAGAATCTATCTTTGCATGTGTAGAGCAGCCTTACTCACCACCGCCTGGCACTGAAAGGCATAGCAGAGATCTTTACAGTGCTGAAGCTAGGACAGACAAAATAGTGCGGAATTTCCATTCTCTGTGACAAAGGTTTTGGGGAAAAATCTCAATATGCAACCCAATTTTCACACGTCTCTTGGAAAAACATACAAATCTTAACATCAAATGTTTTTTTTTTTTTAATTGAAGTAATATATCTATCTAAATATGCTTTAAAAATAAGTATTTGAAACTAGACAACCAATCTGTGAAAAACTGTAGAAACATGTAAAGAGTATCACAATAAATGGGAGAATTGAATTTTAAGCACAAGAGTGTATTATCATCTCGGAAATGCTTAGGTTTAAAAGCAATGTCTTTAATTATCCGAGTCCATCATTTCCTTTGTTTTGACAGATGCTCTTTTAATGGGCAAGTTCTCAAGTAATGTTGCGAAAATTCAGGGATATTTTAAAGCCACTGATGCTCATCCTTCCTTTTTACCTGCCAGAAGGATTTCTATGTTTTCATTTTGGATTTCAAGGGAACCCAGCCGCTTAATCTCTTCTCACCTCTTAGGAAGATTTCCTTCCAAGGAGATAACCTACAGTGCTCCTAATTAGCTCTGCAAATGGTCAAATGGATTTTTCTCAAAGTGACATGGAAATTTTCTGCTTGTACACAGAAGTACAGGCAAAAAACCCTCAGATCTTGAAACAGTTTCTTTTAAAATAATTTTATATGTAAAGTTTCTAATTAATAATTTCATCTTATAAAATTTATCCTTACCTTTACCTCTATGATTTCCTTTTTAGTTTTCTTATCATTTAAGGAAGGATTCACACAACCAAACCAGACTGAGCCATTTCAGATACTATAGGGTATCTTGCCTGATCTCCAGTTGCCACTCAGAAAAGGTGTGGATCTCCTCTAAGTTCTGTGTTAGACCTACCAGTCCTGGGTCAATATCCTGGATACCCTAAGGTACATAAAAAGGCACTAGGCACCTCTATTTATGGAACTGTGTCTTAGAAACAATTAACAATAGAAGTACCTCCAATCAGAGAAAACCAACAATTATAAATCCATTTGTGCTTCTGTCAAAATTTGAAATAATTGTTCAAAATTTCTCTCCGCAGAGAAGTATTGACCACACATAGATGGGGCTGATATGTCTTAAATTCTGAGCTCTTCCAAGAAAAAGAGACCTTTTTAACAGTTTTTTTGGTTAGTCTTCAAAATCAACAACTCTATGCAGAAATTTCCTGTGCTATGCTCAAATTATTTAAAGAAAATTAACTTGATAGTGTATTCTTTTTCTATTGGCTCCACTTGCATTTGCTAAGAGAAGAGTAAAAAGTTATCTCACTAAACAGATCACTGTGCTACAGGCCACATATAACTAAGAGCAAAATATATCTTTTTTGGTTGTCAATTTATTTTCCTTCTTGGTGTTCAGAGACAAATAAGAAAAGAAAGCATTTTTCACTTGTAAGTTTGATGTTACCTCTACATATCAAACCAGCTCTCCATGAATGTTGGAAGCCGTGGCTAGTTTTACAATGACTCTTTTTTTAAAATGTTATTCTGCTGGTAATAGAACATATGAAGCAGTGAATTTCTGTATTGACAAGTCCTGGCCAAAAACAACAAAAGAAAAGAAAAAGTTTTCAAAAAAACCTGCAAAATGTTTATGAATTCTAATCCTCAGCACATGAATAAATACATCTGACAAACTGCAGAGTACCTTACAAAGGCCTTTCCCAACCTTTCTAATTTGAGTTCAATTACATGTGTAGTGTTTAGAAACTGAAGTCCATCTCTCCAATGTTTTTAAACTGGGGTTGCACTACATACCAGTATTTGTAGAAGTGAAGGGCAGATAATAAGTTATAATTATCCTATTAATCACCTGTAAAGGGTTGCATTCAAGGAAGAATGCATCCTCAAATTGCAATAATTGTTTTTTTTGAAGAAAAACATTTTTTCTGTCTTTGGCAGAGACATGCTTGGAGTTTTCTGTGTAAGTTCATGAACAGTATGCTGAAATCAAGCAATGTATATGCTATGGGCCATGTGGTGTAGATTGCCATAAATCTATAGATGTCAACAGACGTGCTATTTCTGACTGCTAACTAGGTATCAGACTTCCTCATTAGTGTCTGCTCCTCGGCAACACCTTTACTTATTCTTTTAAGCAAACACTGGTTTCTTATGGTAGTGTTGGTAACAACATCCTCTCTGGAGTATTTTTCTCATCTTAGCAGCCACAGCATATTTTCTCTTTGAAATTCTTCTGCACCAGATCATTTAATGCATGTCCCTTAAGACAAAGCTGTGCGTAAGAGCACATGAGAATAATGCTTATTGCATGATATGTTTGAAGTTATTAATGATCATGTTCTTTTACAAGTGAATTAAAAATGGCTGCGTTGTTGCATTTGTCTTAATTCTCAGTTAGTGAATTTTTGTCTGTCCTAAAATTTCCTTTGCTATATTTTGCAAACATATAGACTCACAATTTATCTAATTTCCTGGTCTCCAGTTACTCTAAAATAAAATGGAAGAAAGTGACTATTCCAGTACACTTATTCCATTCCTTTTTCTCACAATTGGTATTTTTTCTCAGATAATGTCTAGTCAGCGACAGCAGAAATAGTAGTGGGGTGTGATATAGCGTTAAAACAAAACAAGGCAGTTTTCATAAATGGGTAGCACCACCAAATGGTCGTAACTGGATAGAGGGACCCAGGCACCTACATGGAGGAAGACAAATCACATCATTGACATTGTACTTTTTGCATTAGGCCCACAAGTGTGCAAATTTCAGAGCATGGGTTTAGAAGGGCTATGAAAAGCCACTGATGCCATCACATACTACAACGGGGAAGATGACAACAGAGAATGTCAGAGAGAGTGCCTTGGAATGGCAGCTGATCAGGAAGGCAATGCTGTATTGAGTAAGATTGTCAAAAGCCCCAAGTTAGGTTTTGCAATCCATATTTCAGAACCTAAATAAAAGGACCAACACTGAGCCGAGCATCTATTTCAGTAGTGTATGTCACCACACTGGAAAACTCCTTATGGAACTTGTCAAAGGTGATGGTTGATAAAACCCAATGAAAACTTTTTTTTTTGTGTGTGTGTGGACATGTCTACTTCTTTACATTTCTGAGAATATTTTTGAAAAAGCTAGTACTTTATTCATCACATGTAAAAAGTAATAAGCATAAAATATTTTTCTCAATGGGTCATAAAGATTAAAAGCAAAGGTTAAAAAGAACATTTAGAAAATCCTTCTATCCAATATCCATCAGAAGACACATCAGATATTTTCACATAGGTATGAAATCTTGAAGTGGAAGGGAACTGGCAGACTAGCTTGCAATTTGGCACTAATATGTTTGATTGGAGAGATTATATAGCTATTACCACTTTCCCTGGGGGAAAAAAGTAACACGCTGCACTTTATAACAAGATCTTGCAAAATTCACAATTTATGGTAAAGGCTTTTGCCCTTTCATAAATGATTTTGGCTGCACCTTCAGCAAGATTATTTTCCTTCTCACCATATTTGTAGGAGGAAAGCTGTTTTCTAGTGGATGACAAAACCAATTTTCACTAATATGAATGCTTCTCTTGTGTTGGTGAACATAAATAGCATGTACTCATATTTTCTTGGTCTGATAGTCCATCCTTAAAAGTTTTTAAATAATATATACAGAGTTTGATAAATCTTGGACACTCCATTTAAATTACATACAGATCTACCTGAATCTTCATTTATAACTTAAATATTTTTGAAGTCTTGGACACATCTTTATTAATGTTCTTCAATTTAAAAATCCTCTGAAATATGTCCTTTCATATGCCAGCTGAAGTGTCAAAATACTGCAAAAAAATGTGTCTTTGCAATATCCAATCCCTAAGACCACCAGATACCTTGCAAAAGCAATTTTTTTTCCATGGTAGTTGGCTGGAAGTTCTCATGCTGATAGATGGTATGCACACCAATGACTACCAATGATGTTCATTGTGGTATTCAGCACAATATCACCAAAAGCAATTTTGAGGTATTAAATCTTACTCAGAACTGGGAATAATTTAGGCAAACACTAAAAGATTTATAGAATCATCATCAATTTAGTGGTATTTATCCAAACATCTCATCTGAGGTCTGCTTAGTTCTAAGACATGTTCAAATTGCATGGTTTTTATACCAAATGAAAAAACGACTGATGCTATTGTTACTAAAAGAAAATCAAATATAGGAGTTTCAACAAACTTGGATCATTCTCTCCACCTACTATGATTTATGTTTTACCTCATTTCCTAAAAGGGCGTTTATACAGGCTTCAGATGCATCACAGATGGCAGTAAGGTCATGTCCTCCCTCCAGTGCCAGCACCACACGGCCATCCGCTAGCTTCAGCAATTGCTTGGTTAGGTGACCAAAACCTAGTATTCAAATACAGTAGTGCAAATAATTAAAGCAGAACAGATATTACCAGCATATTTCACATCTGCTTCATGAGAATGTAGAAAGCTCAAGGATATTGCACAGGGAGCATGGGATATATTTAGTCGAGTATCCTGTTTCTGACTACGGCCCACACCAGATGCTTTGGAGTTAGGTATATGGAATTTTGTATGAGGCAGATGTGAGATAATGTCCCTCATGCTGATCCCTAATAGCTGGAGGTTAGTTGAAACATGAGGTTGTCTCTCTTCGTATCATCATTAACCATTATCACTCCAGATTCTCTTCCTATTTACACGTCAGTGTAACATACACCCATGTTATTTAGAGATATCTCACATAACCCTGGTCACTTATGGTATCAATATGACAAATAATATTTGTAGTTAAGCCATGATATGATAATTAAAAGTAATTGTATTTTTCAAATGAAATTTTTATTTACAAATTGCTTCTTCCTTTGTATTTGTGGTTTGAGTATAATGTACAACCATGGAGTTGTTGTAGTGGAAACATATGTCTCCCCTTAGCTCTATTTTGAAGTGTTTTTGGAGGCAGCACCAACAACTGCATCACTTAATTTGATTCAAGGTTTTGATATAAGTTGAAAACACCCAGAAATTTGTAGATCTCTCTACCAGTACCACTCACTCCTGACCAGCAATGTTCTAAGCAATTTTCCACTGCAGCCAAAAATGTTGGTACTTCATTTTATGTGGTGATCTAGAACTGCATAAACACTGCCATAAAGTTTCCACTTGTGATTCAAGTAAAATTAATTTATTTCAGTTTTAATGATGAGAAAAAACTGCAAGGAAAAATGTTAATTTGGAGAAAGGTTTTGGAGAGAAGTTTTGTGGTAGTTTCCCGGGACAGCTGTTGATTTTGATTGATCCCCTTTAAGTGAGTAATCATAAGTAAAACTTTGAAACTATTGAAGTTAAATACCCTTCACATCTTGTTCTTAACTTTTCTACTTGGTCTGTTCTAGTTGCTCTGCTGATGATCGTTACTCATTCCAGTGCATTTTGTAGCCTTAAATAAAGCATTTAGAAGGTACCTGCTAAAGCCTGGGGCTCTATGAAGACAGGAAAATCAACATCTTTTTATTATGTTCCAGTGAAGAATGCAATCAACAGTTAAAAACTACAAAAATTACAAGCAAATTTTCTAGAGGAATTTTCCAAGACACAGACTTAAGGCTTGATCTGTCAAACAAGCAATCACACAATCAGTTCCGTTTAACATCCTAGGACTTTGTTAAGCACTTGCCCAACTGTTTTTAGCGTAGGGACTTTAATGATACCAGACTGAGTTTAGCTACTCAAAAAAAAAAGAGCAAAAAGAAAAAAGATCCCTTTGCCACTTAATCTATAGATGATCACAGAACTCTTGAGGTGAAATATTGTTTCCTTAAGCCACTCTGCAATCTTCTATACCCTCTAAGAACTGCAGGTTTGATTCTAGCAAAGTAACTACACTGTGGTTCAAATTACATACAGGGTTGAAAAACAAATAAAATCTTAAACTCTCATTTAAGCTTAACCTTTCTTCATGAAAAAAAAAAACCCCAACCACCCAATCCTCTCTACAAAAGACCAAATTTAGACAGGATAATAAAAGCAGAGGAAGGAGTGGAATGAGGATAACCTTTGATCTTTAGCCAATTTCTACTTTCTTTTACCTACAAGATTTATTTCTGTCTGCATGTTACACATGTGATCTTCAGATTCATAAGAAGAGAGTGCCAACAGCATAAAGTGAGTCGTACATACAGTATTTAAAGGAAATGAAGAAGAATGAACAGGCGCAGACTCCCCACATCTACAGCTCACCCTTTGAGGCTGCAAGGAATCCAACAGCACGTTTAAGACACCATTATCTTTCATGCTATACAGCTTCTGTGAAGGAGGGAAAGCTCTACCATGTTTCCCCTGCACATTTTGAAAATTTTGTATGACTGCAGATGTTGCTACTGCCACACCATAATTTTCTGGCAATAAACGCATAGGCTCTCTAAATGGATTTTTCTTCTTTTAGGCAACTATACGTAATAGAGACATTGTTACAATGTTAGTTTGTCTGCTTGGTTTCCTAATGATTTTGCTAGCAGCAATGTTGTAATAGTCATCCCTGGCTGAGTCAGGATCTATCAATGAGCCATACAGAAAGCATCTTTCCCCAACAGAGAGCACAGTAACAAGATAAAGTGTTGCCAAATCAAATCAACATGATGGGGGCTTTGCTTCAGTGTAATTACCCCGAGAAAGTAAAGGTGATTTGCTAGGAAGGGAGGAAATAGCTTTAGCCAACAGTACCAGCATTGCCTGTGACTGAATGAGTTATGGAAATTCTTAACAAAGAAACTTGGATCCTGTGTCACTGCAGCAACCTAGGAAAGATATTAGCTTCCTCAAGGAAATCCCCTGGAGTGCAGAAGTAACAAAATGGAAAGAAAGGAATCCCAGTCAAGTAATGGTTTTAAGATGGGCTGTAGTTCATGCCAAATAATTAAGAAAAACAAGAAGAAAATAGTAACAAGCACCATGAAAAGAATCAGTCAATCTCCCCTGATATAAGGACATCAAACACATATTTGACACCCCACTGACCAACTCTGAGGTGAGAAAGGAGTCAGGCAAGCATTTTGAATCCTGGATCTTCCAACTCACATGAATTTCTAGAAATCAGCAGCAGTTCTTGGCCTTTCTACTGCGCCGGCTGACAAAGGTGCCAGCTGTGATGCTGGTTTTAAAAGATGGTTTTGGTTTGGACATGCCATATTCTAAAACGGTATGCTTTTGCAGTGGTGCATAACAGTTATAGATTAATGGCATTTTATAAAAACAGAAAAAGTTCAGTTATAAAATGGAAAGTCATATTAAAATATCAGTGCTTGATTTTCAGTCCAGCCTTAAATGGGCATTGCTTCTTTGAGGCTGCAGGTGCCTTTGGGTCATTTGGAGTCAAAGTGCCTGACTCAGTGACAGGCATCCATTAATCAGGGCTTGAAATGGCCCTGGCAGTATCCACAATTATTTGTGTCCATAAACATGAGTAAAAATGTCACATACTAATAGTAAAAGAAAGAAATAGTATTTAAAAGTCCAATCATTTCAATCAATAAGTGAGAAGATATTATACATGCAGGGGTATTTCTCAAATGTTCTTGATGTGCCCAGTGAATTTGTACTTCAGAGAAGTAGCAGAATTTTTAAAATTAGGCTCATGCAGTGTGCTAGGAAATGGTGAGCATGTTTTTTTGCCAACTATTATTTTCATAATTTCTGTCATCTAAATGTGAAAAGTACCCATTTCCTTCACAGATCCAATATTAAGATATCCAGGGTAGAATTTGCAAAAGCACTTAATATTTGTTTGCTGTGATCCTAGTAAAGAAGATGATAAACCTTTGATTTACACAAGAAACAACATTAAAACACTAATACATAGTTCTGAAAATCCTACTCACCAATTGATTTTACAATTTCCTGAAAAAAACCCCCATGGGTGCAGAATTGTTCATCTAAGTAAAAAAAAACTAGATTCAAAGGGAAACCATCATAAACCATGTTATGTATTGGAGAATTATGCAGTATATGAGCTGTTATCTGCTGACCTTTGAAGTAAAAATATAAACTTCTAAACCAAAGGCATAACGCTTACTCTTTAATTATATCTGTTCCCCTCCTCCAGTGCTATTAGTGGAGGAGATACAATATTCAGCCTTAGGTAAGAAAATATTCTATTGTGGGAAGGCAGAAAGATCGAAAACTAATACTGTATTATACTAATGAGCAAGCTGCCAGGCTGTTGTTGAAGGACACAGTGTGCTTATCCCTTCAATTACCATCTAAGCAAGTAATTCAGCTTTTAGTGGACTGACCTCCCAGTATAACACTGAGCCCTGTTTTTTGTTTTGTTTTTTTTTTTTTCTTTTTTCTTTTGTAATAGACAAGCTCCCCATGTGCTCCTCCTAGTTCTGCCAAACAGCAAAGAATGACATAGATGAAGCTCCTGCCTCATTTGACCAAAGTTGCTGGAGCAACTGATATTCTACCTGGAGTTACTGAAAACCAAGACAATGTTAAACTCTATAAAAAGAGAACCTGGAGATATTCCACTTTTCTATTTTTGTTTTTGAAGTATCCTTATCCTGACAATCTGAAATGGAAAGTGGCAGGTAAAAGACTTCTGAACCAGGCCAGTTCCCCTCCAACGGACTCATCACACAACTGTGTTAGGTATTACGGCTAGACGAAGTAAGGCTAACAAGTCAGGGTTTGTATGCACAGCCCCCCATTTTGAGAAGGAAACATTTGAGAATGAAGACAACTTGTGAATGTTATTCTTTTCACATCCGTTCCTCAGCAGACAGGGAAAGGAACCATATGGATGGGGTACACTCCCAGCACTCCTTGTATGCACAAACAATCATATATACAACTTCAATTTGTTCGCCAGCAAATGTGCAAGCACCCAGTTAGTGGGGACTAAGCCTCCCTTGGCAGAAGACAGACCCCTCCCCTCTTCTGCACTGTGCATACGGAGAACAGATGCCTCCAGCACAGCTACTTTTTGGGTGACAGCAGGCTGAGGAGAGCAGAGCTGTGGCGCTGGCCCTTGCTCAGGTGAGGCAGCTGGTGAAGGAACAAGGATACATCAACAACCGAAAGGTTGGTGAAGCTTTGGAGTTATGGAGAAAGCTTCAGCTTTCTCAGCCTCAGCAGTGGGGCCCCAACAGCTCTTTTGGCTTCTTAAAATCTACAATCTGACCCTAAATTACAGGCAGAATTCTGGTGAGCTTTTCTGGCTACTCAGAGCAGCCTGGAGAGGAAGACACGCAAAACACAAAAAGTCCGCAGTCTCTGTCCTGGACCTCCAAGCATGTATTTAACTGTTATTTACCATTTAATCATGTCATTACTCTCTAATTTACTTGAGAATGTGTTTTCCTCTCATTAAAACTGTTGCAATG